CTAGTCAGAATCACTGGCTCTCTGACGAAGTCAGTAGAACTTCACAGTTAAATACTTCTCATTTGCATTCAAACGCGATTCTAAAAATACGTCCTTGTATGAAGTTGTAAGCTTGAAATTAAGAAGAGATAGGAAAGTAATTCTAACTCAAAATTTAACTCTTAGGTAAATTAACATAATCCTTACATTGGTTTTTTTTTAAATTGGCATTTTTTATGAAAACAAAATTGTCAAATAACAGGCAACAGTTGACACTTTCAAAAATATAGTTGCAGTTAAAAATTTTTCATCTAATCAGGCGATTTGTTTCTATAGCAAAGCAAAGTCGTGTAAAAAATGTGCAAACAGCCTCTGTATATTACATATCATAAAAAGTATACTTACAAGACAAATATACTTATTACTTGTTTCTAAGAGATTTGCATTCGTGAAACATACTTATGATTAAAAATATTTCGAAAATTTCGAATTTTTACATTTTTATACTTTTCAAAACTTTAAAGTTTCTAAAGGCATATTCACTGTGTGTTTAATACTTTTTCTGAAATATTTTTAACCTTAATTAAATAATAGAAAATTGCTGTCCTCATATTTTAACAAAACAGTAATACTTAGATTTTAAACGTTTTCAACAACTATACACCCTATCAAAATTTATTTCTGCAATTTAACTTTAAAACTTTTGGTAAAGTCTAAATTCTTCTTAGAAGCTAGTGTATAATTAATATAATAAATTGCCGGGGGAATTAATCATTAAAATACGTACGTGCAAAAAATGTCTTGCGAAGTTTTCTAAGAAGCTAATACGACGTTCATTGACACCTGGCAACAATCCGTTTTTATTTTCTTTTATCGTTTTCAAACAAATTTGTTTATAATGTATTTGAAATTTGCAATGGTATTTCTGCTGCAAAAAAGTTTGAAATAATGCATAGAGCTTTTGAGGATACCTCGTTATCAAAACAAAAAATTTCGAATAGTATAAGTTTCTTAAGGAAGACAGAGAATGAGTCAAAGATGAAGCAAATTCTATTAGATTCCGCTTCAAGTAAAGAATAACATGTTCATCAAATGAGAAGTATAGAACTCAGCAACTGTTCCTTTTACAATTAAGGGTATTATTGGCCAAGTACCTTTATCATTTGTATTCTTCCAAGAAATTCCGAAAGATGAATTGAGCTTGCTATATCGCTTCTCGAAGTGTTAAAAATATTGATTTTTTTTCAAAAAATAACAGCGTGTTCAAGCAGCCCAGGAGAAGCTGTATTTTCGAGTTTTTCTTTTAGCGTATTATTAAGGGTGAAGATGCTTTGCTACGAACGTGATTATGCAGGGTTTCTACTGCGGCGACAGTACTTCCCTGCAACCTGCCAAAAAACACATGTTGACTGTCTCCAAACTACGTGGTGTTGTGTATTTCTTTCAACCGCACCACCTGTTAGCAATGACTATTCTTTGAGTATGTTTGAAGCAGTTTGCTAAATAGAACCTAAATGTGACAAATTAACCGATGGAGCTTACATTACTCTCGTTGTACTTGGCCAACGAGAGTAATGTAAGCACCACTACGCTTACATTACTCTCGTTGGTGAATGTTAAGCCTTAAGTTGAATAAAAACTTCACAAGCTCCGTCTTCATTTGATAGGACATTTTGTGACCTTTTTCTTACATCTACGGTTAAAATTGCCATTGCGTGATCACCGTTTTGAGACTATTGGTACAATAAAAGAGAATTCTTGATGATTCCTGATTATGATTTTATAAAAACGACTACATGCTTCGAACATTGAGGAAAAATATAAACTTTGTCATAGGCACATTGCAGTTGGAGGGGATAAATTCGAAGTTATATCAAAATATTAGCCAGGAGATTGAAATGTGTTTTACATTATCATTCCCAATTTTTTTATTACAACAATAAAGCATAATTTTACAAGAAAGTACGTGAAGTCAAATCCTACTCTAATTAGTAAATTGAAATTTTAGTTTTGAAGTCTTTGTTTATATTTCTAGCTTCTCTAAATTCATAAAGCTAACAAATAAATAAAATAAACGCTTTCTTTTCAAAAAACAATAAACTGTACAAATGGATTGATGCAGCTGTTATGCAAAGCTGACATATTTTTTACGTTAAAAAGCTCAACAATAAAACCTTTTGCTACTTACAGAATGAGAAGTGGATTTATAAGGAAATCTTTAATAAGGAATATCAAATTTTCGGGATTATAATAAGGAAACCAATATTATAGTGCATAAAACTGCAAAAGTATGTAAGAGGTAATTAAAATATTTCCCTTTTGAAGGGCTATATACGGCTAGATAAATTCATTTTATTCAGAAGAAATTATCATGAACGTTAAAGAGAATGTTCAATAGATAAACCAAATTAAAGATGCCTTTATCGTAGAAATTCAGTGTGTAATGCATGAAAGAATACCATACTGCACTCTTCACCTTATGGTCTCAATGGAACAGACTTCCTTCGCAGCCCTTTTCAAAGGAGTCACACTTTTTGAATCAACGCAGTTAAGACTATGGTGAGACTTAGTGCATCTACTTCTTTGGTAAATAAATGCACTGGTATAAATTTAGCAACAAGTGAAAAAATTATTATCGAGAAACAGCATTTTAATTTGACTTAGAACATAAACAAACGCTTTCTTTTCAAAAAACAATAAACTGTACAAATGGTTTGATGCAGCTGTTATGCAAAACAAACTATTCATTCTAATTTTCCCAAGTTTGGGATAAATGAATTTCAAAAACATTATTTTTATGTTAAGTGTAATTATGAATCGATATTTTATATATAAATTGTGAACCCTTCATAGAGGAGGAAAAAATGCATTTACAGACTTATTCTTGATATTTGAACTACTAGGGCTTTCGCAGCTATAACAAATATTTCATTATAGTTTATATTTTCTTAAATCCTAATTAAAATGTACATCATTTTTACGTATAATGATTTAATAATCATGTGTATACACACACGTCTTTAAAATTATGGCTATAGTTTGTTTTTTAAATATAGACTCAAAATATACTTCCCATCGCACAGTTTTTTTGAAAACAAGGTGCAGAATTTTATGACGGCAGTCAAGTTTTGTAAAAACAACTCCTAACTTTCCACATAATTTCACACGATAGTAAATATTTATCGAACACTAATTAGCTAATTTAATGCCCCGAGATATGAGGAGTAAAAATTTCCTTCCTAGATAAAGGAGCAGCTGCGGATTCAACGAAGAAATGTTATTTTATTCAATCTAAAACCTATTAATCGCCAAACCATACAGGTTCCCTTTCGCTGCTTGAATATAAATTAGTATGAAAAAGGCTCGAATTTAAGTCGCAAATAGGCCTGAAAAATTACCTATGTCAACAAATTTGTTCCTGAATATATCGGTAAATTTCGTTCATAAAGGTAAGGAATAATGTTTTATTAAAAAAATTGTAAATATTTTATTGATTGGAATTTTTTGGAACACCGACATGTCGTTAATGACACTGTATGGATGCAAGATGGTGCTCCTCCACAGGTCCCCACATGTGTTCGGCATGTGCTGCAACACCACTCGAGATAGTGTCACCTCCCGTAACTTTACAATTTCGTGGCCATCGCGATCCTCAGAGCGATGAATTTCTATTTCTGGAGTTATTTGAAATAAAGTGCATACATCAGATTTAGGAGAAATGTCAGAATTAAAAGATGCCGTAAAACCGGAAGTTATACAGATTCCTTCTGCTGTGCTAATTTCGTCATTTTTGTAAACAATCCTCCGCAGGCAATGCGCTACCATCTGCAAATGTGGGCACATTGAAAATATGTAATTTCAATGAAATTTCTTTTCTCTTTCCTCACTTGTGCTGTTATTTGTCCTTTATAATGCTCTCTTCTTAGTAATTTTTTGTGCCGGCAATTTTCGTCATACAAGCATCATTCCAACGTTATTTATGGCTTTTCAATGCGCTGATCAATTTACGCAGAAAAAAAAAAAGTGGTGTTGCCATTTGAAAATTTCGAAATATTTTCACTGTAACCGTAACTGTGAGAGCTCTAGCATTGTAAATCGTTGCCATCTCGAGCGCGTACTTTTAATTAACAATATCTGAAATTTGAATTCCTTTGGTTGAGCGGACAGTTCGCTAGAAGTTCATATATCGGAGAAATTTTTTTATGACCACCCTGTAGGTAGGTAGATAGGTATGGCGTGGTCCACCCTCCTGACAAGACCAAGCTTGCCCTATGGCCTTTCTAGATCGGCCACGAAGGAAAACATAAAAGACAACGCAACATGAATAAACAAAGTCTCCAGCAGCAAACATATTGGGTGTTCTTTGTTAGTCATCTATTCCAATTGCGATCAGGTTTTTATTAATTTTTTCCATGATCTGTTTTGCCATGATTTTTGCTTCATTTCCAGCGTAAACTATGTTTTTAAAGTCCATATTGCTATTCCTAAGGTCTTTTGTTAATTTACATTTTGTTAATAACCACCCTGTATATAGCACTGCCGATAACTGCGCAGAGAACTAATGTAATTTTTATGTCTTAATTTTAAACATTTGTGTATTTTACCGTGTCGAACTATTGCTATAAGATTTGGTATACATTTTAACCTCAAGACTTGCACTATAATTCGAATTTAAGATCTCTTCTCAGCGAACCGATAATTTATTGCTGAGTTCCAAAGCAATATCATATTAATTGGTATTAATTGCCCAACTTGTCATGGAAATTTTAGCAACACATTGAAGAAACTATTTACTAAAAGAAAAAGATGTATCTGTCTTAAAATTGCTGCGACTTCAAGAAATGACTCACTGGCGATAAATGGATGGTGTTCATTAAAAGAATCCATGCATGTTGCTCAGATATTTTTACAAAAAGGCGCTTTAAGGAAAAAAACCGTGCGTCCCATTATGCTTATGCTAAAAAAGATCTCAGTTTAAAAAAGCATAGAATTTCATACTCCGAGGTTTTACAATACATTACATTGGCTGTGTGAGCTGCAGTGCGAAGTTGACTGACCCAGCTGGTAGTGTTGCCTTCTATGGACATGTTCACTTGACTCTGGGCTGTCCAGAGAGAAGCTTTTCATGCGAAGAGATAATCTCTTCCTTTGGGGACTGTGTGGTGCTGAAAAAAAGAATACAGTAAAAGTTATAAACAATAGATAAATCCAAGCATATAAAATGATGTTTAACTTTAGGGGGAAATTAATTACATCGCTTGAATATACTGTTAATTCTCTAAACTTGGAATGTATACTTTGTTTTTTATTATGCCATAAGTATGTTTAATTATGAATCTGATATCAATACTGGACGATTCTTTGTTGATTTTCAATCTTGTTGAAAAAAATTATAGTGTAAATTGAAAAACAATTTTTCATAAGTTATTAGGAATGCAGTCAGGTTGAAGTAATTGCTTGCTTTCTAATGTTTAATGTGATTCCTTTAAGTATCAGTACTAACAAAATGCAATACAAATAGAACAAAAACATTCAATACGGGGAAAAAATCAGTCAACATTTTAAGTAACGAAATGTTTAGAACAAGAGGGAAATTCGTGCCTGCAAACGCATAAAAGACCAATTTTCAATTACACACGTTATGTTAATCTCGAACGTTTTACAAAGAGCCCAGAAGAGCTATTAATCTCGAAACGCCGTTTTGCGTTGGATCACTAAAAGCGTTGAATCCCTTTTTAAATCGTTGCTATCAAATATTTTGGCCCTGTATTATACTTAAAGAAATTAAATAATGAAGAATTTGCATGAATGTATGCATGTTTCTCGCACTACGAGAAACAACGGTACCTAGAACGATCAAATTTTTAAATAACGTAGTCCTCCACTCGAGCATGGGTAGATGGAACCCCAAATTTTGAATTTCGTATTTGTTTTATTATCCTTTCATATTTTGTAAAGCTATAACGAATTTTTCTCGACGATTTTAGTGGCAACACTGTACGGAATTAAACATTTACCTCGAGCGCGAGAGACTGTCTCTCGGAAATCCTAAAGGTATGCTGTTTAAAAATAGTTTTAGCCCAAACGAGCGTTAGTCCAAATACTCTCAAAACGTGTATATGTGAGTAAATAAAAAAACGCCCCTTTGAGTGTAATATAGAGTCTGAAGGCTTTCAAATGTTTTTCAGATACAAAATCTGAAAGCTTTAAAGTTTTTAAAAATATAATATAAGAATGACAAGGAATTGGGCGGTGGGGGTGGAGATACAAAGAAATATCAGCTCTTTTTTCAGAAGGATGGAGGGAGAGGGGGATAAGGGACGAAGAAAACGTATGAACTTGGAAACCATTAAAAATAAGCAATGTGTCATAAATAAATAAATAACATTTTTATACATTCAACATAAGTACCTTACATCAGAAACTCCTTTTCAGAAAAAAAGTCCTACATTGTCTCTTGCTTCTAGATTGAATTTTGCTGTAATAGGAAGCATAATTTTCGGAGATATGAAATGTTATCACAATTTGCATCACCTCCAATCTGTGCAGAGGGAAACGCTTGAGCATTTTATAAAGTCTGGGTGGAACTCGAGTTCATTTTTTGATCATTTTTATCCTTTTTCTCCAAGAATACTGTCTTAATAACCTATCTTGAGCCCCAGGAAAGAAACTAGGAATGAACTAATGAAAACCAAAAAATAAATAAATAAATAAATAAACTTATTGCAACTAGCAACAAAATAAAATTCAGAAATGATGCTAATAACGCGGATGCAGAGTTCAGGCTCATGTGCGAAGCATTACTGCATTACTGTGTTGCCTGATTTACAGTGGAAAGAGAAAAAAACGCAAATAATAAACACGCATTTCATTCCAAAAAACAATTTTTTTCTCAAACAGTCCAACGCTAATCGGAAAACGTGATCTACAAATGACCAATGCAGTGAAACGGTAGTCTCGAGGACCGATAGATACGAGAATAAATAAATTTATTATGCAGGGCGATTCAAAATGAATATAGCGATTACAAGAGGCTATAACTGTTTAACTGAAACAACATTATCGATAAGAATTAAACAAATGTAAATGGAAGTTTAAAATTTTGATGGCAACCCTAAACCTGCTTTGCGGGAAAGCTATCTCACCGCGCCTGTACATTTCGTAACAATATATATATATACATATTCTTAACGTCGTTGGTCAGCAAACGCGCTGTTTTCCTCTCGAATTCAGCCATATTATTTCTTTGCCTTTGCATACCGTTTCGAGACAATTTCATGTCTGCTAATGAATTATTAAAAGAATTATTACTTTATTGGTCTATATCAATTTATAAATTTATTTGAAATGAAATTGTTTCCTGAAAATATTCATCTAGAAATGGAATTAGAGAAGAGGAAGAAGCTTTTATTGTTTTTGCTTATGCGTTAGCCATGCTGAATCTCACTCTTGTTCAAATCTAAGTATAGTAACATCAGATCATGCAGGTTTTTAAATGACATAAACGTTGTAAAATTATGTTTAATACGTAAATAATGTAATGAGACTCGTTTTTAGATAATAATTAACAGCAAAAAATGTATGACTATGAGAACATTGATTTCAAAAACATATAGAAGTGCAGAAAGATCTAGACATGCTGCACCGAATAACACAGAAATTTAGGATTTATTTAGTAATAAAAGAAATACAAATTCTTTATAAATATTCAAATCATGCAACTGTAAAACGACCTTCATCATATTTATTGATCAAATGTAAAGCCACTTTACAAAAGAAGAGTACAAAGAGTACAACATCTATCAGTGCAAACAACACCAATATACCTGAAACGATTCTTCTATTTCCTCCTACGGCTGTTGATTTAAAGGAAAAAAGTACAATTTCAGTTGCAAAGAGAGTTGGCAAAGCATTTACAATTATAAATTTCAAATCTTAATAGAACTTACTCTTTTAAAATGAATCACTTATTAAACGTGTTATTGCTCAAGAAAAAAGTTAAGTTAACACACAAATTAGAAATGACATATCTAATTAACATAACTGAAATCTGTATTGTTAATTTACGAACCAGATAAATTTTTACAAGATTATTTGATACCCTCATGCTTTGAAATGTTTTACATGCAATTTAAACTATTATTTTTTATCTGTTTTCACGTAATAAAATATATAAGAATAAATTATTAAATTTAAGAAATATTTTTAGAGCTAATCCATTTAGACATTAATTAATATGCAGGGGTAAACTGCTTCCAATAAAATCATTTACATATGAATTTTAATTACGTATTTGGAATAAAATTCTAAGTAGCAGATTTAGCCCAAACAGAAGGCGGCTGGTTTCTTTTCCATTAAAATGCCTTTCTGAGAACTATTCCATTTTTTTTATAAAAGACTAACATTTAGGAAATATACGAAAATAATTTTACGCTATTCTTCAGTTTATTATTAAAAAAGAAATATACAAGGTGTTTCAGCAAATCGGATACAAACTTTCGGGAGAGATAGAGCACATCTAGACGGTGGAAAAACACATAGCAATTGCATGGTCGGAAACACTTTCCTGGAGTAGTACTAACGACACAAAACACATGAAAGGAAAGATACGAAACAGAATGAGAATATATGTTTGTTATGCTTAGTGCTGCGGAAACCACGAAATAATTAAAAAAAGAAGAAAAAAAAGTTGACAGTTGAGAGCAGAGTCTGAACACCCATGAGACTTACTTAGTATCCGGATCTAGTCCAGACTCCGCAACTCTCCGGCGTAACACCTCATGAGCCCCACAAAGGCATACATTGATCCTGTTTCATAATACATGCTTACATAGTTCATAATAATTTTTTCATTGTTCATAATATATGTAAGTTTCATTACATACAATACATTCCAATAAATTAATACAAATAATACGCAATGCTGATCTCTACTAAAACTACAAGAAAAAAAGAGAGAGAGAGAGAAGGAGGGGCTGTAGGGGTTCATGAGATGCTTAAGTACTAGCTTGCTTTGGAAGTTCACTGTTTTTTGGGGATCTATTCCGGACTGCACAAGTCTCTTCCCAATTCCTCCAGTTTCTACATTACCTTGCATATTTTGATGCGAAATGCTGGTTGTTTGATTAGATAACGCTTATGAGAAACTGCCTGTTCCGGAAGCTGCACATGCCACTGTGCGGTTAGAGGGCATTGGGTCAAGTAATGGTTTGGTTTACCCATGCCTCGACAGACACATCTATCGGTATTTGCAATTCTTCGTTCGTAGTAATAGGCCCGTGCGCCGTCACAAATCTGGTTATTTGTGGAGGTAGGAACTCAAGATGGTCGGGCGAAACTTTGTGGTAATGTTCATAGAACCTTCTGCTTTTTTGGGTTAGTGTCCCACTCCCATTGCCACTGGTGCTGAGCTGCTGTCCTTGTCACTTTTGTAAGGGAAGACCACGGGAGTTCGGTTATAACCGCTTTGAGCATCGATATTGTGAGCTGCTTATTTGCTAGCCTGTCTGCTTCCTCATTACCTTGAATGCTAGCATGCACCTTTATCCGTGAAATGAGGGTATTCGTTGTCGACGAACGTTGCTTCAGCATCTCTTGAATATCCGCTGTGATGGGAGAAGGATGTGTGTGGTTTCGTAAGGCATATACGACCGACAGGCTGTCTGTAAGAATATTGATAGTGGATCCTACTTGGGGGCTTGTTAACTCGATAGCTTTGCGAATCGCAATTGCGTCAGCCTGGAATACTGAATTATTCTGTCGTAAAAAAGACAACCATCGTGAAAGAAGGTATTCGAAACGTATCCTCAACATTGGATCGGCAGAGGTGGTCCGGTACATTGGCCAGCAAGATCGCCAGACCCTACTTCCACTGGGGATAAGTCAAGACGCTAGCGTACGAAACCCCGGTTAGAAGTGCTGAAGAACTAGTTACAGCATCTTGGCAGACGCTGGAGAAGTCTGGGACATGCCCGTCGTAATTCCGAATACCTTCTTTGATGACAATCATTGCCTATTTTATTCTTATTTTTTGATTTCTGTTATTCTAAGCATAATAACTATGTTTCCTCGCGCTGTTCATGTTCTTCCTTTCTTGTGTTTTGTGTTTTCACTACTGCGCAAAGAAAGCCTTTTTGGCCATGCATTGCTATGTGATTTTTCATCG